TTAAATCTTGATACAATTAAACATCTCATAAACTACAAAATCATTCCAGATTGCTTCTAAAATCCAATCTTTATCCATAAAAATCATAAATAATCTCCGTCTTATTCCCATTTAAAGAAATCTAAAAGATCAGCAAGAAAAGAAAACTTTTCATATGCAAAACAGAGCGTAGAGATAAATATCAGAAAACAAAAAAAAATAGAAAAATAACATGTGCTTATGTACAATATGAGTGATTTAAAAAAGACAAGAATTCAGCATCTGTCAGAATTTTGTTTCTTTCCTCTTCATGTCTTACTTCATGTCTAGCTTTTTTTTCTCAAGTATGTGTCTTTCGCTCATGTTGATAAGAAAACGAATAAACAAAAAAAAATTTTTTTTGGCACTTAGCGATGCTCAAATTCGCAGCTTTTGAAACATATACACGACAGTTGATGTTGATTAAAAGATTACATTTTGTATGCTTTAAAAATAGAAATAAATTAGGTGTAAATGAATTCATTTAAATTGAAATCAGTCGAGGCGCTTAAAGCTGTTGCTTCTTCTTTTTGTACCTCCTATTAAACTACTAAAGCTCTTATTTAAATTCATTCAATATTGAAAAAATTTAAAATTATAATGACAGATGCTTTCTACTTCAAATTCAGGGCGTCTTCCACCCACTTTTCATTAAACTTTTTGCATACATTTTTAATTTTTTTCCTTTCTTTCTTTCTGTTTCCTTTCCATTCACTGATTCACATTTGCAAGAGTTTTATGAATGGAAAGTAATTTGCCTTGCAAAAAAAATATTCAAAATGCACATATGAGAACTGTGTGAATGCTGGTGAATGGATAGGCAGGCAGGGTTGTTTTGCATGTTTTTGTTAAGGTTTGGACGGAACAGCTAAGCAATGGGGTTAGAAATGTTTGAAATACAATTAATTTCATCGTGAATATCTTCCTGTATGATCTCAGTATTGGTGCTGACATCAAAAGCTTCTAATATTTTGACTGCTAAATTAGGGGTCGTTCATAAATGATGACCAAATTTGTGACACTTTTAAATAAAAGAATTTGAGTCTGGTCAAAAAAGGGATGAAATATTTCATTTAATTGCTCCGTGCTCTCGCTGTGGTTCAAAACGTTTAAGGGGGGACAAGACCCTCCTGGCTACGCGCCTGCATTGCAACCCCTAAATAATCTCAAATCATTTCCAAATGTATCACAAAACAAATTTCATCACAAGCACTTCTGGCCACAATTTAGAAAAAAGTCGCAAAATTTTTAAGTCAATTGTTTGGCATAACAACAAGCAAATTGAAGTCAATTTGAATTTGATTACAATATATTAAATTATTTTGTAATAAAAATAATTTGTTTCTTTGTTGCTCTCTCGTTCGTTATGTTTTTAAAAATATATCTTAAATGAAGAGCAAGGCGTGGAAACTATCTCAAATATTCCATTTATCCCATATATCCCAAAAATATTCAAAATAATCCCTGAGCCTGTATGCATTAGAATTGAGATATCCCATCATACCCTGAAATTGCACGTCCAATACACTAAGGATACGTTGGGATATCTTTATTATCGTGCATACATGCTGAGGAATTTTTTGAATATTTTTGAGATATGTGGGATAAATATGATATTTGGGATAGTTTCGACGCCTTGATGAAGAGCTTGGACTTGGAGATAACAAAGATAATAAAATGAGAAATTTGTGACAAAGAAAAGAATTTTTTTTGGATTAAATCAAGGACATCTAAGCTTTAGGAGATTGAAACAGAGAATATTAATAGCTGCATATCACTACTTGATTGTTATAAGTATTAAATTAGTACGTAGTTATGCAAACATTGCTGCACACAACAGAGTGTTAAGAGACTTAACCAGGAGTATATTTAAGGTCTAACCTAATACGAGCTTCCACTGTGAAGTACATAAAATTTCAAAAAAACCCATCTCGACGAGTTCTGAGCCTTATAAAGGCAATTTGTCATTGCGAGAATGAAGCCTTTATGGCGAAGTAGTTGAGTATCGCAATAGACACATATGTCGACCAATCTTATGTAAAACATGGGTTCGATTCGCACCAGACACTAGTCTCTAAATCAATAGCTTTTATAGCAAAGATGGATGTCTACATGACGAGGATTTGAGCAATCCTAGCGAAATTCCAGCATCGTACTTAATATAAACTTCACACTTTCCGACCATTCCACCAACAAGCTACTAATAAAGTATATTGAATTCCCATTAGATTTTCAAAATCCATTCAATTCCAATACCTCAATAATTTAAATACATTGATTGTGCCTTAATTGAGGTGTGTATCCGTAAAACTCCATTGATAATTGATGTAAACCTTACCTTTTAACAGACCGATACAGAAGCTTAATATTGGGTAAAAATCAAAGAATCTGATACTTGATAGCATTCCAACTTGATTTATTAGAATGATTTATAAAATAAATTAAGAACTGACTGATCTAACAAACTACTTATACCCTCGTCTTCTTGATTTCTGTATGTCTAAAATTATCTTTATGCAAAAACTCTCAGAAAATTTTAAATTAAAATTTTATTCACTTATAACAAAAAACAAAGAACTTTCTCAGCTAGAAAACTGTGCATGACTAAATGAAAAACCAAATATTTTGATTAATTTAATCTAATTCTTCATCAGAAATTTTTCCTAGCATTAGAAAATGTTTTCATATCTTGAGGCAAGGTATGTGGGATGCTTAAAATATCTGTCAATTAATTTTCCAAAACTGAAAAAAACAGTTGAAAAATTCATTTATAAAAATCATTTTGGGGCATCGAGACAATAAATAATTGAAATATTGACAAATGTCAATAAAAACAGAAGTTAATAAATTAAAATCGACACACGTTGCTCATGTTGGTGGATGCTAAAGGATGTGTAGGTAGGAACATAGGCCAAATTAATTAAAACTGACGGCGGTTTCGAGAATTTATCGAAAAATCAATGTTGATTTTTTTTACGAGTTTAAAAACAGAACTGGAGTGGATTTCAATGACCCTTTAGTGAGAATACTCTGGCATTACAGAGATTGTTCGTGGGAATGTTGAGCACTGCTTTCAGATGGGTTTTGTAATAAAATCAGAACTTTTATTTTATCACACATTAATGTGAGATTTTTATTTTTTATGATAAATTTTTAAAAGGTTAATTGATATCGACACTTGATGAAATTCTTGAGGCTATGTATTGTAAAAATCTGTGATATTTTGACAGTTGGTGTGATTAAGTGATTATGTAGATTCTGTTGTAATATAAAGTGCAGGAAGTCACATGGAGAAGTTTATGAGCATTATTCAAGAAACATTGAATCGGGGAAATGGCATCAGTGACCTTAATGGTAGAGCGTTGGCTTTGCGAGCCAAAGGTCCTGGGTTCAAACCCAGACCAAGTCAAGTTTTAGAAGCTCTTAGCCTGTCTCCTTTAAACTTTCAAACATATGCTAAACGGAACTAAGCTGGCACTTCAAGCTTTATCCATTCAAACATATGATGAGCGAAGCTGTGTTTGAAGGTTACATACCCTGAGCGAAGCATGGGCTGTTAAGAAGACTTTTGATGGTATAGTGTAAATATATCCGCATTGGGTTTCTACCCGATACAGTAATTATTCCTGGTTTAGAGATCCTTAAGTTGCCCTGAAAACGTACTCGTGAGCTTCTTTTAGATTAAACTAAAGGAAAAGCGAAGATTTAAAATTAGTGTCTTTCATTTTCCATTAAAGTCATCTTTCTAGCTACTAAGTATCCAAGAACTCATCTTCCAATGACTAAGCAATTTAACAATCTTCATTTCTCCCACACAACATAAGTCAGCATCGACTTCTATATCACTAAAATTAATAAACAATATATCACTCCGGAGACGTAATCCATATATTCAGGATCATAAAATCCACTCATTTGGAACAAGAAAATTTTCATTCTTTTAATTTCAAACTTTTCATGCTATTTCCAAGGCAAGACGAGAAGCAAAGAAAAACTCTTCTTCAAGTGTCAGATTTATTTCAATAATTTTTTGTTCTTCTCTCTTCTTTTCACTTCCTCTATCTTCATATACACAAAAAACAAGAAGAATTCTTGAAAAATTCAGTGCGCATTAACTTGTTGCTTCTATCATAAAACTTATAATATTCATCACATTCACACAAATACACACAAAAGTGTTCATATAAAATTTATTCTATGATTTCATGCTATACATTGGGGATTATAGTAAGAACAGATAAAAAAGGAGCAGGAAGCGAAAGGCAGTTTTGATTTAATATAATCGCATGAAGAGATAAAACAAAAGTGGATATAAATTATAATTTGTATGATCGTAGTCTTGTTCTTGTGATGGACGATCAATTCTGTAGAAAACTTCATTTTATCATTAATTTTGATGAAATATTTCTTGTGCTGTGGATGATATGTAGCTATCAATGGTGGGAAGACTTTTGTGAAGTTCATTGTAAAGAAATTAATTCACTAAACTTAGTTAAACAATTTGTTTCATTTGAAGGATTTGAACTTAGATTTCAAATGTTTTTAATAAGATATTGATACATAAGTCGCTAATCCACTAACGAACATTAATGTGCATTATATGAATAGCAAAAGCTGAATTTAAATTGGTCAGATTTTTTATGAATGTCCTCAAACTCCAGATTTAGTCCAACTCCTCACAAATGAAGTGAGATATCTTTTATTTGATTGATTCGAATTGGTATAAATGATTCACACTGTTATGGCAATAGAAGAAAATGAAGGAGTAAGAGAAAAAGAACAAAATTATGAGGATGAGAATGATATCCTTATTATAAGCTAGCAAAACCGCACATCAATGTCGAATGTTCAATAGGAGGGAAATATTTTTTTTTGGTGTCTATGAAAGGGCATGTATGTTTCTGTGGCTGTATGAATGGACCTTTTCTATTGTAAAAATTTATGGCATTTTATCTCATTTTCCTCTTTTTTTCTTTTCACAGATATAAAATCGAAGTTGCCGGCAAAAGCCTTCCCGTGTTAACAAATTTGGACAAAGGTCGATATGGGGTGATTGTATTCGAGAATCTCGATAAATATTTATCAATGGATAAGTGGAATCGAGAATTGCTCGATAAATATTGCCGTGAATATTCCGTTGGCATTGTCGGTTTTATGAGTGCGAGCGAGGAGACATTGGTCGGTGCTCAATTAAAAGGATTTCCATTATATGTACATACAAATTTACGATTACGTGATGCCAGTTTAAATCCAAGTTCGCCAGTGCTCAGGCTTACACGTGCTGGAGATACAGCATGGGGGCCCTTACCCGGTAACGATTGGGCGGTTTTTCAGCACAATCATTCCACTTATGAGCCACTCGAGTTTGCACAGAAAAATACACTCGACTATCCAAATGATGGCGGTATTCAGCCTCCATTAACCACAGTCCTTCAAGATCATGGAAAGTTGGATAACATCCAACGAATTTATTTCGGTGCTGGATTAAAGTTTTGGCTTCATCGACTGCTTTTTCTAGACGCTTTATCATATCTAAGTCATGGTCAATTAAGTGTTAGTCTTAATAGAATGATTCTCGTCGACATCGATGACATTTTTGTCGGCGAACGAAGTACTCGTTTAAAGCCAGACGATGTTCATGCACTCATATCAACACAAAGTCGTATAGCCGAGATGGTACCAGGCTTTAGATTTAATCTCGGCTTTTCAGGCAAATATTTTCATCATGGTACAAAAGAGGAGAATCTCGGTGACGACATGTTACTGAGAAATGTTGATAAGTTCACATGGTTTAGTCACATGTGGAATCATCAGCAACCGCACTTGTATGATAATCTAACAATTCTCATGAATGATATGATGTTGAATAAAGAATTTGCAAAATTAAAAGGAATCCCTTTAAATTCTGGTTATTCAGTATCACCACATCATTCGGGTGTTTACCCAGTTCATGAGCTTCTTTATGAAGCATGGAAGAAAGTTTGGAATGTAAAAGTAACGTCGACTGAAGAGTATCCACATTTACGGCCCGCACGACTTCGGAGAGGCTTCATACATCGTAACATTATGGTATTGCCAAGACAAACTTGTGGATTATTTACACACACAATGTATATAGGTATGTTATTTGATATTTGATACTTAAGTTTTTTGCATTTATTTTTTGTTATTTATAATGAAGCAATTGGGGTTAATCGTTGTGAAGTGAATGTTGAAGTGGAATATTGTGAAATTGTTTATGGGGCTCGTTCACAAGTGACGTTGGTTTTAAAAATGATGGTTTTTAATAGAGATTTCCACTGTGACGTCATTTGTGAATAGATCCATACTGCTTGGAAGGGACTTAACCAGAAATTTTGGAAGAAAGATTGTTATGTCAGTGAATTGATGACTTCTGCTAAGACGGGGTACGATGTGTTGTTACAAAACTTCCATCCAAGCCCCAGTAAAAATTCCATTCATAATTTTTTATTTCACATTCAATATTTATTGTCAAACACAGACCCCATAAATTGTGAGTTATACGCAACACAAAAAAAAAGCCTATATATTCATATTTTCCATGCTTCGATCATTCTTAATGTCTTTATTTATCTTTCTTTATTTATAAATCAAACAGATCGATATCCAGGAGGGCGTGATAAACTAGATGAATCGATACAAGGCGGAGAATTATTTCAAACGATAGTTTATAATCAAATCAATATTTTTATGACACATATGTCCAATTATGGAAGTGATAGATTGGCACTTTATACTTTTGAGTCGGTTATTAAGTTCCTTCGGTGTTGGACGAATTTAAAGCTGTCTTCAACGCCGCCAATTCAGTTGGGCGAACACTATTTTAAGTTGCATCCAGATGAGAGCGATCCAATTTGGGGAAATCCATGTAAGTTCTATTTATATTGAAGCATGTCAAAAATTCTAACCTCAAAAATTCTCAAACCTAACAGGCGAAGACGCAAGGCACCTCAAAATTTGGTCGCGTAGCAAAAGCTGTGATTCACTACCGAAATTCTTAGTGATAGGTCCACAAAAAACAGGCACAACAGCACTTTACTCGTTCCTAAGTATGCACCCGAGTCTGGCAAGTAATCTACCCAGTCCCGATACATTCGAAGAGATTCAATTTTTTAATGGAAATAATTATTATCGTGGCCTCGACTGGTACATGAGCTTCTTTCCATTACAAAATGCAACATCATCCAATAGTGTACATATAGGATCGCCATCAGGCAGCAGCACAAATGCACGGTATTTCTTTGAGAAATCTGCCACGTATTTTGATGGTGACTTAGTGCCAAAACGTGCCCATCAATTGTTACCAAATGCAAAACTTGTTGTTATATTAATATCACCCGCGAAACGTGCATATAGTTGGTATCAGCACACTCGAGCGCACGGCGATGTAATTGCTAATAATTATAGTTTCTATCAGGTTTGTAATAGCGCACTTAATTCTTTTTATTATTATTATTGACTTAATAAAATGTTATAATTTTTTTACTCATAAATGAAGGTTATTACTGCTAGTGATACGGCGCCAAAGCCACTACGCGATTTAAGAAATCGATGTTTAAATCCCGGCAAATATGCTCAACATTTAGAAAGATGGCTCGCATTTTATCCAAATCAGCAGCTACACATCATCGATGGTGAACAGTTACGACTGAATCCAATTGATGTGATGAATGATCTCCAAAGATTCCTCAAAATAGCACCATTAATGGATTACTCAAATCACCTACGCTACGATCCCAAAAAAGGTTTCTACTGTCAAGTGCTTAATGAATCGCGAAATAAGTGCTTGGGTAAATCAAAAGGTCGCATTTATCCGGAGATGGATGAAAAGAGTACAAAAATTCTTCAAAGGTAAGTGACACAAACTTTTTTTTTGTTCCGTATAAGCCTATCATCACCTATTCCATCTATTTCCGTTCCATTCATGGCAATGCTTAAGCAGTTGAATGAAAAATTAATTTAATTCATTCATGAGCTGTGTATGTAGGTGTTGTTATTGTATAAACCAAAAAAAGCATGGGAACTAAACACGAATTTGAGATTTTTCATATGCAAGAGAGATGTTCATTTAAACCAGGAAGCAAAAGACTTGCTAAAGCTTGTTAATTAAAGTTTCATTTCATGCGAAAAATTGCAGAAACATTAAATTAAATTCCCCTTTTATCTGATAATGCTGGATAATTCAGGGTTTGGAACTTTTATGATTATAGCTTAAACTACAGTTTGCTATTGCCTTAAGTAAGGTATTTAGATTAAATGTGACTTTGAGCGGCGCTAGTGTGTCTTATGCTTAGTCATAGTTGAAAGATTGAGATTCGGTTCGAGAGTTCGAATCTTAATGTTCTCAAGTTTATTATTTGTGGAAGTTTCAATACTTTGACTGCTTTGTGTGGGATTCTAGAGGGAAACAATGTTCCTGACTGCAGAGATTCAATTAAGGGTTTACAATCTGGAAGTCATGAAAAAAGATCAAAGTTCGCATACACAAAGGTGCAAACTTTTGAAGGACCCAAGAACTCTTGATATGCCACTGCTTCTGTGTATTAGGACCCACTCCTCATACTTAAACCATGCACCTGATCAATAGCTTCAGTCAATAGCTGCTCCAACAAATGTATAAGGCTAGCTCCCCCTCCCCAACCAATCTTAAAAATAAACCACATTCACAAATAATATCTTCAGCTGATTACCAAAGCCTGACACACTTTTTCTCTTGTCTTTCCATAAAAACTCGCTCTTTTTATTTCCTCAAACTTCATCCTGAAAGCAATACACAACTAACTGTGCAATTTACCATTGAATAAAAAAAAAAGAGAACGAGATGATCCCCCACCTGTATGAAGGGATAAACTCAGACTAAGTCTCGAATGAGAAGAGGCAAAAAGTACAGCAGAAAAAAAATTGTGAATAAATAAATAAGCAAAGAAGGAAAACTTTTCATTTATTTTTCACTGTGCGAGATTGAAGGGGTGCAGGGGAAGGGGTAGAAAAAAAAACTTTATAAGTTCTTCAATTCCAACTCACTCACAGCAAAAGAGACGCGTTGCTGCAATGAATATATTTTGAGAGCTTATTTGCATCTCCCCCGAACACTTTTGGAATGATGTTATCAAGGTGTTGAATACTTTTTTTTTTTTGAAAAGCTTTCCGAGGCAGGATTTACGGATGGATGAGCGAGTATGTGTATATCTTAATAGAAAGGATGTAGTTGCTACATCTACAGCAAATTCTCTGACTAATAAAAACAATAATAATGTTTGAAGCAAGGAAATGAAATTTCATTTTCCTCATTCTATTGATTTTTTTATTTTATTTTCAACCTTCAACATTTCTCCAACCTCCATCCTGAATGTGCAATCATCATTTTTATTCCTCCTTTCTCTGAGCTCTCTTTTTGGAGCGGCTGCCGTGTTGCGGCACATCACATCAGACACAAAATGAACGATAATATGCAATTAAATTTGCATAACTTTCTTTTCATTCTTGAATAATTTTTTTGTGCTACTTGCTTCTTCTTCCTCTCTTTTTTTGTGTTATTCGCCATCTTCCACCTTGTGATTTTTGAATAAAAGCACACAAAAAAAAAATGGGAAATGAAACGAATAAAAAAATTTGAATGAGAATGAAAGAGTGAAGGAGCAATCGAACAAATTTTCCAGCTTATGGCATGCATAACAAATGGGTAGGGGCAGGGCAGGAGCTAGGAAACATTTTGAGAGTCTTTTGTATTGACTGAAAATTGGTTTGAGGTCTACGCCTGATTTTTCATGAAAAAATCGGTAGGGGGTCTAAAAATTAGAGGAACTAAGAATTGAGCCAGGATAGTGAATATTAAAGAAGCCTCCACCTCCTAATTCTGTCCCTGAATATAACTAGCCGAACTAGTGGAAAGGATGGAAAGTTTTTTTTATTGCTCCTTTTAAGTTTGCTGCTACTGCTTTCTTTCCGATATTTTTTTTATTATGAATAACTTGATTTTAGCGCGACTTGACAGGGGTTGCTTTTGTTTTAATAAAGATAACATTGATGTTGTTGGTAAACTGTCCGAATGGTTATGAATTTTTATTCCAATGTCAATATTTTTTATCATTACATCGCCATAAAGCTCAGTTGTAAAGTGTTTGGCAAAAACTGCTCATTTTTATGAGGTCTTTTTCCATTTTTTGATCATGAGGTTATTCAATTATGCTTGAAATTTAATTTTCGAAAGAATTTTTTAAAAGTTTTGACCCGGAGAGGATAAAAGGTAAAAAGGCAACAACCTAAATTTCTCTTTGAATTTTCGTATAACTTTGAAGATGGAATTCAGAATGAAAATGGCCTTAAGAATAATATCTGCAATTACCATGCTCGAAACATGCTTTTATATGACATGGATGTTGTCTACTCCTACTTACAGTCCCACATTTGTTTTGTTTTTCCAACTAATGATTATTCAATCACCAGCATAAGTAAATGAAGAACATTCTGCAACCTACAACATGTTTTTAAGTGTGGGTTCATTATCTAATAAAAGTGGGAGTTGGATATGAGAATTATGAATTAATGGATTTGCTTTCAACTTATTAAAAATGGAAATTGTTGTGTCACTATGTTGAATTCGAAAAGTCAATGAAGAAAAGCTCATGGGAGTCATTGGCATCGATTTTATTATGAAACTAGATTGAGATCTGCTTTTGAAATTAAAGTTATTAAAAGGTGCTGGATGAGTCATTTAATTGGAAACTTAATGAGTCTTTTAGTGACATGATGTTGCTGTGCAGAATGATGTTGAATTAAAATTAAAGAAATTTTTTAAATATGTAGGCTTTGATCCCGCAAACCCCTACGCCAAGGAACTAATGGAACCGCCAGCAAATTCAAATGACATTGAACTTAAGATCAAAATTGACAAACCATAAAAATTGTCATTTTTCTGCTAAGCTTGCGGTCAATGAAGCTGCTGGCCATAAAAAAGTAAAGCTTAAAAAACTAATTTCTTGTATTTTGTGGCTGCCTTAATAAAGCAGTGCTGAATAAACTATAAGCTAATGTATCTTTAGTTCAAGAATATCATCAATAATTTTTGGGGAGTCTAGCATTTTTTTCCAAATTATTCTCGATTCTATCCAGTCACAAATTCTTATCTCATTTTCACAATCAGCTACAGATGCTTAGATAACAGATTAATCATCCGCAGACTATCAACAATCTGTCAACTGTCCAATTAAGTTATAATTGAATTACCTAAGGAATATCCGAAAACATATAAAAGACACACAGATATACCACAATTAACCTTATCAATAATGCGCTATCATATCTTAAAGTATAAAAGGAATGAAGATTTTTTCATCCGCCTTCTGCTCTACAGAACTTTTTTTATGCTCTTGTTATGTTGCTTGCACTTCGCAACAAAAAGAAATTCTTGAAAAAAAAAAGAAAAGTTTTCTTTTCATCCTGGGCTGCTTGCCTGCTAAAGTTTCTCGTTGTCTTCTTCTCATCCTCGTGTTCTCCATCCATGGAAATTAATTTCGGATTATATTAATATTAAGCTTTTCCCTTACTGTTTATTTTCATGCCATTTCCTCATCCCTTTTAAATCTTTAAAAAAACCGCCACCAAAATTGATGTTCTTTCTTTTTTTCTTTCTTTTTTTTCAATGTAGATATTATTTGAGTCACAATACGGCGTTAGTGAAGCTATTGAAAAAACTTGGATCGAGACCGATACCGACATGGCTTAAAAATGAGCTTTCGACAACGACATGAATGCCAAAAAAATATATATAATATAAAATAAATATAAAGAATGTAAGAAGGAATGAATACACATACAGACATCGATGAGAAGCAGAAAGGGGGAGAGAAGGAAGAGCTCGAACACAAAATTGGAATGTCATTAATGGGGCCATTCAAAATCAGCAAGCACAAGCACAAATAGCTTTCCGGTGTCATCTTATAACAACATTGGAATATGAATATCCAAACAAAAAGCAGCTACAATAATAATGACAAAAAAACCCCAATAACCATTTTCATCCGACCGACGTGTTGTATTGTATGTTGAGAAGCACCAGATCTCTTTATTCGAATTAAGGAGATCCTTTTTTTATTTACTTCATCGAGTACGAGAGAATTTAACGAAGACAAATCTTTATTAGCGATTGTCTGTGACATTCCTTTCGCGTTCAATTAAGTCTAAATGGAGATGAAATGTAAAACAGCAGTCGTCGTCGGTGTGAGTGGATGTCTGTCGATGTATGGAGAGTGAGCGAGGGGGGAACAGCATGATGAGGAATTCCAAACAAAGATGTTGATGGAAAATTCATGGGCAAAGCTTTTCTCATCATGTTGTTATCCCCTTGAATGTGAAATGAAGAGCAAAAATCAATAATTTACGAAATAATTCTGTAAATATAATAGGATGATATTGATGGCAGACGTAATGTTTGACAGTTGATTTAGTATTTAATTTAGCAGTAAAAAACTTATTATTTTATTCTCTCAGATTTCTGAGGAAAAATCAGCAGCTAGTAGGTTAAAAAATTATCCTGTAAATTTCGTGTCAATAATAATTTATCATCATATTGTCAATTCCTCATTTATGTACGCCACATTAATTAAGTGCTATTTGTTTAATATACATTAACAATATTATTTTTATTTTTATTATTCCAACTGCTGTTATCATGAAAATTATTGAAATATGAAGCATAAAGTGTCATAAAATGAAAAATGACGATACACAACGCGCGACATAATTTTTAACTCAACATGCAGAATGGAATCCATATGAAAAAAAATTTATAGATAAGGTTTCATTCATTCTCGGTTCGTTTTATGCTTTAAATGTTTAAATGAAGTGAATGAGAAAATTCAATAAAAATAATATTGAAAATAAATTGTCATCGGTTTTGATAAACGCGAATTGAGCTTTAATGATGTACTGGAAGGCTTAATATAAAATTGTTGAGCAATTGCCAATGTGATTACATTCCCTAATTGCCGTGAATATTTTCATAACCAAATCCGTGGAATCAATCTCATCAAATTACATCAAACCCCCGAAAAATTCAAGCTGCTTAGCAGAAAAAAATTCACAATCATCGATATCAATTTCCATGGCATTTTAAGCCATTCAGCAAATCTTCTCAGAATTTTTTATTTTTGTTCAGTCAATCAACCAATTTATTGTGAAAATACGCTCTGATTTTTTTTTAAATCATTCAATGAAAAATTATTGAAATGTTTGTGTTATGAATTACATGATATTTATTGCGTCAATTTTATTGTTCCGAGCAGTTTGATTTGAGGAAATGATGATTCAGGGATTGGAGAATTTTTTTCGTGTGGCTGGTGCTATGGACCATTCGCAGTTGCAAGTGGTTTGGATTCGACTATAAACTCTAGGTCTAAAGGGTGTGGTACAATAGATTCTGTTCTAATTTGAATTGCAGTGCCTTTAGCTCTGAGGGCTGGACACTATTCATGCTTTTGGTGCTATGGACCACACCCCCTCCCCCCCCCCCCCCTTCCTCTTTCATATTCAAAATAAAGTTATAAAATTAAAAAATTCAAAAAAAATGAAATATTATTTTTTAACAAATTTTTGAATTTTTTCAAAGAATTTTGACATTTTTAATATAACTTCAAAAATTTTCAAAAATCCCCGAATAACCTCCTAACACCAAAAAAAATCGCTGCGATGCTGTAATCAGAGAAATATTTGCTTATTGAATCAACATTTAAATTGAATTTTTATCGCTGGATTATCAGATTTCAACTTCCATCCGTAAACATCATTATTTTTCAAAAAATAAAAAAAAATTCTCGATAACATAAAGGAACAAAAATTCTCTGGAAAATTTTAATCAGCTGCAATTAATCCCACACAAAGAGATCATGCAGTTGCAGAAAAATCAAAAAGGGAAATAAATTATTCAACGAATGCGAAATGTGAGAAACACAAACAATAATGATGATTGACGTATGGCTGACTCATATAATTTTTTGCCTCATGGCAAAATTCTAATCATGCCTTTCAAATTAGCTGTCACGGAGTTATGATGTGCACAAAACAATATTCCAATGAGATTTTCAAAATCACTTAAACACATTTTTGAAGTGATTTTAACAGATTTATGAATGTTCGGCAGATTAATCTAATAGAAGTGGAAGCTGCCCTGCTGTGACCGAGATTAAATTGTAATTAATTCAATCAACTTGAAGGGGGATACGCTGCGATGATTTGTCTGATTATTTAACTCTTGTCATTTTTTTTATGATTGAATTTTTTTGGCATTCATTAGTCAAGTTTCTAGTGCTTAAGTCAATTTGCTATTGGAATTAAAAATTCACATTCCATGGGAACGTTCATCAATGATGTCATAGACAACTTTAAGGTTATGCTTTATTTTCAAATGATAAACCTTATTGCGTTTCCAATCTGCTCTCTTCCTTCCTTGCTCCATGGTAACGTTTAGCAATGATGTCACAGAAAATTTTAAGGTTATGGTCACTTTAATTTCTAATAATATACTTAAATGCATTTCCAATCTGCTCCCTTCGTCCTTTTTGATATGATTGACATCATTTTTGAACTGTCCCCTATCAATTAAGTAAATTCCTTCTTATTCCCCGTTAAAAAAATCTATTAAACTCCAGTTCCCAACAATTTTTTATAATCTAGTCAAGTCATCAAGTGTGACAGTTGATAATTTCAATGAGACATCACGTCAAGGCTTCACTCTATGAAGTAAAAAAAATATAAAGTTAACTGTATCACTTAAGCGAGATGAATTGAATGATTGAATTTCATTTATAATGCAAATTATTTTTTTCATTTTCAAGAACAAATGAGCAAAATGACTGCAAATGCAAAGGCGTCTAGCAGATTGAATAGATATGTATGAGATCAAATTTGTATTCATATGTAAAATGAAGCATTATTGTTTGTTTTAGATGCAAATTTGTAATTTAATTTATTGAAATTTGAGATTTAAATTGATGTTGTTGTTATGGCTATGGCAAATGGCTTTATTGATCAGACAAAGTTGTTTCTATTTAATTGGTTGATGAAAGATATTGAATTACATTGGCTAGTGCTGATTCTGTGTACAATTGAGAATGATATCTCTAGCTGGACACGTGATATCTTGTAGTTTCTAGTGAGACTCGAACCCACGTCCCACGTCCATGCCAAAGGTACCGAATCTCATCTGATGCAACCCTTTCTTTACTATACAACGTCCATAGTCACCAAGGCAGCTAACAGTAGTTAATATCCCATAAAAATGGATAGCACTTAACAGTACAGCCTTAATCACAATTCCTTCCAAGTCACAAATTGGCACTTACTTCCAGTACGTTAAATTCATAAAAATAAAAATCCAATCGAAGTGCGAACAGAAATATTTCACAATTAAGAATACAATTTTTTTTATTCACTCACTATCAGCACTTCCATTCACTTCATTTCATTTAATGCTTCCACTTTTTTTTTCCTATTCATTAACTTGAAATGATTGATAACGATAATAATTATCATTTTTAATTCCTTTTTCGCGTTTTTCTACCTCACATTAGTCTTTGTCTTGGTTCGCTTTTGTTTTATTGATGATTTTATCAATGCTGGGGGAACTGGCGGCTGTAGAAATTGATATGAAGCTTTATTTGGTTGTATTTGATTCTTACGAACTTTTTTTTGGAGATTCAAGATGATCTGGGATGAAGGTTTTATCAAATAGACCTCTTCGACCCTAAATGCACCTCTTCGACCCTTAATACACTGCTCCGACCTTAAATAAACCTCCCCGACCTTAAATACACTAATTCAACCCTAAATACACCTCTCAAAACCTTAATATGCCTCTCCGACCATAAATACATCCTCCATCCCTAGCTTCATCCCTATATCCTAGTACCACATCAAAACAAAGCATCCCTTCCACTGAATTAACCCCTGCAAAAGTATGAATGACTAAGTATGCATGTGAGGACGATAATCAAGTGAGATATGAAGAACATTAAGGAATTAATTGATTTTTGCATAAGATAGACTTCAAATGAATGCAATCGGAAACCAAACGAACTTGAAATCTAGTAACATGTGAACTGTTTGCCACATATGACTTGCTACAGTTATATAAATGTACTTAATGAATGTAGAGCAATTAAACAATGAAAAATAGAAAAGAAAAAAAAATGCTGCTAGAATTAAAACAAGTTGAAAGTTTTTTAATTGCAATGTGGATAAAGCGCATTTTACTTTTGGATGATTGTAAAAAATTGTTGAATTTTGTTTAAAGCTTTTTATGAAATCGGCAAAATCAAAATAAAAATTTGTTAAATTAAAGCTAAGGATGCAGAACTGATCAATCAAGATTTGATCAATTTTGAACATTTTAATCAAGATTAAACCCTAGAACTGCCAATGTCATGCACAGACAAACTGTTTTAAATCTTTAACTTAAATTCCGAAAGTAAAACTTGCAAATACAAAAGAAATGAGCATGAAGAGAAGAAAAAAAAAATTATAAAAAGTGTCTCAACGTCAATCAAATTAGTTTTAATATGGAAAGAGAAAATTTTAATTATATTATATAAGTGTATACAGGTTCTCATTCTCTCTCACTCTCTCTCTCTCGCTCTCGACACAAAAGAATAAAAAAAACAGTAAAATAATAAAATTTGCATTTTGTTCTTTCAATCAAAATTCATGTCACGTATTTGTGAGAGTAAAGAGGATGGAAATTATGTTACTCACGTTAATCGTGATGAGAAAGGATATAAAAAGGTAGATGATGGAAGACAAAAAAAAAATTATAGAAACATATCGTTATCAGAAATTTAAAGCAAGAATCCTTTGACCTGAAAATTGAAGACATGATTTCATGTTGATGATGGTGATGATGATGAAAAAAGGTGAAACTTACTCTTATACACAGTTTATTAAAGTCAATCGAGGGATGTTTATTTAGGCTGGCATGACCAAAATTCTTAAACTTTTTGGAAGTTCTTGGAAGATCGTACTTGACATTAGCAATATGTTATCATAAAATTAGATTATTTTGACCCAGTATAAGAATGTAAGCTCCTGTGTAGGATGTTGGCGAACGTTTACATTGTAATGATCTAAATTTAGATTGATCTGTGTTTAAAATATCGCAAATCGTGTGTCAATATCGACAGCATTCTTTGTATTGATTTAAAAGTTGACTTGTGGTGGAAGTCGAACTTACGTATTCGCTAAAACGCTTACATTTTCAATCTAATGACTGATTACTCGCACAAGCAGATCATATCTTTATACATATTAACAAATTGACAAAGTTAAAACTATGTTCCTTAAATACACGTTGGGACTGGAACATCACGGTTTAGAATAAACCTCAAATTAAGGACCCCCCCAGAATCATGTTTGAATCCTAACCTCAATACTGGCAAATAAATTTTTAAAAGTCGAGTAGTGCTATTTAATACAATAAGATTAATAGTGGCTATTCAAATGTCAGTGTTGAAGTGATTTTAGTAAAAGTCATATTCAGGGAAGACAGTAAACTTTTTCCCAAAATATAGCGCACGTCATAATTTTTTAAATACTACAAAAAATCAAAGGTGGAGCCATTTCCTTACACGACCTAAACCAGCACTCCAATCAATTTTTAATTCTATCCTGGCAGACCTCGGAGGTGAAGCAATCTCAAAAACTACGCCACACCTCCCTGCAAATCTCAATGACCACAACGATAACTTTTCAAAAAATTCCCATCCCAAATTAAAACTCATGTCACTCCCAATAACACCTGAGCCTCAATTTACACTCCACACATTCAATTAAAAATTCATTAATTTTCACATAAACATGTTCGAAGAAAAATTTTCGAGCATTAATAACGCATGATGAAGACATGAGGGGATGAAAAAAAAATTAATAATTACCATGCAATTATAGGAAAAAATAAATTGTTTGTTAATTGAAATTAAATTGTTGACGATTAAACCTCTCGCTTCTAATTAACTTCAATTAAAAACTTTAAGCCTCAAGGTGGAAATGTAAAGTGTCGATTTCATCCATATTGTATGCCCGTTGCTGAGTTTCAAGTTGCGGCAGAATTTCAATTTCTCATTAATACACTTGTTGACATTTACATTTTTTTTTGCAATCAACGAGTGATGAGGTTTGAAAAATAATATTATGTAAAATGCTGTTGAATTTAATTAAATCGATAATGAATCTGTTCATGCAGAGAGAATTTTAAATGTGTCTGGAATGGAAAACTGGAAAGTTTGATGTCTTAATAATGATGTAAAAGAAAAGAAAGCCTTAGGCTGAATTTGTTGAGATTATATGTTGGTCTGAGTTTTTTATTGCTAATTAATTTAATTGATTGATTTAAATTCAACAAATTGTAGTCAATATTGGCTGATAGATAGCAATAGCACATTACTAATTCATTACAGAAGCAGTGAATTAGAAGCTTAAGATTATACCACGTGTGAGAAATATGTTGCATATTTCTGATTAAGAATTGGATGCTTAGAACCCTTGCTAGGCTATATGCTAGAAGTATCATCACTGATTATGGAAGCCAAACAACAAAAAAGATTTAATCTAGTTTGTAATCAATTCGTAGGGATTGGTTTCTCGTTTAAAATGTACTGGTTCGATTTCTAGCAGATAAAATTTTTTATAGCAGACTTTGAGGTTGACTCAAACTGTGTCGAGCTTTGGGGATTTTACTTACAACATTATATACATTACTAAGTTGCAAGGTTGATCATTAAAGCCTATCATAGATACAAATATGAAATCAGTATTAATTCTAATATCCATAAAACCAAAGAATATTGAAATTCTTGTTTTATCAATTGAACTTAAATCAGTAATGCCCAGCCCATGTGCTGCGGCACTAACCTTATGCCGTGTGCGATTTTAGAAATAGCTTACAATCAAAATGTTCCTTGGCACAAAATAAGGTTGGACACCACTGAACTAAATACATCACAACCTCCTTATAAAATAAATGACATCACAAGATAAAAATTTAAAAGTTAAAAAAAAAAATAAAATTAATTAAACGAAAAAAAATGTTTACCTTCATCATCATCATCAATATGAACTTCCTTCAATCTTTAAAGTTCATGCAATTTTACTACAAAAGCATTTTACAATGGAAATAAATCAAATTAAAATAATTAATTCTTCATAAAAACAAAAGAGTAAGTAAAGAACTTTTTATTAGAAATTTCCTCATTGACAAAAAAAAACTTTTTTTTTATCTCTCTATGTGTGTATGTACGTAAAAAAAAGCTGTAAAAAATAAAACATTTTTGCTGTTTAAAATTTTTCCCGAAAATTAATTTTAATTTGTTCTTCTTCCTCTCCATGTAATTGCTGTGTAAAACAAATTTATATTCGCCATGTGAAATTGAGAGAGTAAAAAATGAACAAAACCAAGAAAATTTTTCATTCATAAAAGAACGGGAAAAACACTTCAAAGTGAAGATGAAAACGATTGAAAATTTAATTATAATTAAACACAAGAGAGAAAGATGAAGAGGAGGAGAGAGCATCATAAATTGAGTAAAGAGAACTTCTTTATCATTTGTCATTTACTCCGTTACAATCCCGAGTGGTACATTGCTGTTGTGTGGTGTGTTAGCTGGTTTATGAGCGTTGTTGAGGCAAAGAAGGTTTGCTGAGACGATTCGTAGGGATGAGAATGGAATTAAGCATTAGGTTAATAACATTCTGAAAAGAAATGTCTTCAAAAGGTTCAAGCACTAAAAATGGCATAATATTCTGATTAAATAGGAAAACAACACACCACAAAATGAAAAAACCTCAAAAAACCTATTCAGGTCAATTGTGAACCTAAGGAGGTTCGCTAAGGCGTTTTGCAGCTAATAAGATCTTTAACGAATGAGGTTAAACTAAACCACAGCACTAAAACCTAGAACTACAGTTTATAGTGAGATCCAAACCACTTCTTCAATGACATTCAGAAGCGTAGCCAGGGGGGGATTTGGGGGACAAATCCCCCAACGTAAACAGAAATTTCTTCATTTTACTAGGGTTTTTATGAAAAAATCACAAAAATACCTCACTCCCCCTTAAATTTTTCCAAACAAAATTTTTTTTGTCCCCCACTTCAAATTCATGGCTACGCCCCTGATGACATTACAGACTGTAGACTACAAAAGAAGGCTATGACCTTCATTTCTGGCACGTATGGTTCGAAAAAGAACAAGCGAAATATTTCCTTTACTGAGTTTCGAACCCAAGTTCAGTGTGGCGGTATTGCAATAATTAGGTACCGAAGTATGAAACCATTCTGCCACTTCACCTCAAAATAACCACAACAACATCTAAATAAAAATCAATTAAGTTTCAAATAACATCAAAGTACCGCTCGGGACACATTTTACACAAGATTACATGCAAACGTTTATTTATTTATTTTTTTTCCTTTTAACTCTATTGACAATGAATATACGCTTTGAGTTTGTACATATATATCTATCTCATTTCATGAGGATTCAATTACACTACTTCAAGTAGATCGCAATAGATACAATTCTACGATAAATACATCTTATATATTGTATTACAGAAAAATTTATAGACTGAAACATGATTTTAATTTATCATTATTATTATTACTGTAGATTTCACAAGAAAAAAATACACACATATTTAATTGATGCTCCATTATCCTTTCCACACAAGCACACAAACCCCATTTATTTTATGCTTATTTGTAGATTTATATGAAGTAATCATGAACGAAAATAATGTAAATGATGAAAATTAATTAAAACAAATATTTTTCGTGCCATTAACAAGCGAGCATTAAAATTTTCAAGAGTATTGCTGGCAATTCTTTTTCATGTATTTTAATGCCATAAAAAGACTTCTTTTTTTTTGAGATGGAAATGGAATTTTTGGAAGAAGAAGGATTTGAAGTTCAGTGGGATGTTAATGAAAAGTGTTTTGTAACATGAAATTTTGCAAAATGTTTGGCAATTTAAATGTTAAATGTGAAATGCTAAAAAGCGCAAGTTCGAATCTTAAAAATCAAATGTAAAATCATTTAAATTTTCCTCATTTTAATTTCAATTTCCTCTTCTTCCTTAAAAGTTCTCACCAAAAAAAAAGAAAAGCTTTATCAAAAATAATATTTCCGACATTTTCATGATTTTTTCCATCTCGTCGCTCTGCAACGAATTCGACATTATAAAAAAATTTTACCACTTTTTGAAGCTCTCACGTCTTTTTCATGTCTTGCTGTCGATGCTTTTTTAATTTTTCTTAATCCAATTAGACAAAAAAAAATCAAATCGTGTATAAAAAAAATAACAATTCTGTTGTAAATTTAATTTAATTATAGTTTAATGTTAAGATTATATTATAGAATTATATAGAATGAAAATGAATAGAGATATCAAGATGAAGAAAATTTTAATTTCATAATTAAATTTGAAAATGAAAGAAAAAAGTTTAAAAAAAATTCAATTTTTGGTTTTCAAATGAAAATTTGGAAAATGAAGAAAAATTTTACATCATGTAAGATGACAATAAAGTGAAGAAAAAATAGAGAAAAAAAATAAAACTTTTTTGTTTGCCTTTTAATTTTAAATAATTCAATTATGCTCTTAATTTAATGATTTCAGACAAAATTTTCAGTTTCTAGATTCGTAATCAGACTTAAAATTCTAAACATCAAACATTACAAAACTTTATGTTACTGCAGTGATGTACAACCCATGTGCCACGGCACCCTAATGTGCCGAAATTTTTTTTTGGATATCCTACGAACCGTATGCTGCTTGTGGTTGTAGTCATGGCTAACCATCAAGTGTGCCGTGGCACAAAAAAGGTTGAACACCACTGTATTCCTGATATCCGGTGTTTCCAATCACTCAACCAATCCAAAGTTCAACAATCAAGGTGTAAAATTGCAAAATAAAATGATAATTCACCAAAAACTCAATTTCTTGCCTACAAAAACCAGCATTAACCTTGATTACTTTCAACGTGACGCATTTACTTTTTATTTATTGTCTACAATCACTTCAATTAATTATTGCACATTTCTATAACAGACTAGAAGAAATTCAACCGACCGAGACTAACTCAAAGAAGTTGTGAAATTTAGATTGATTTTTATTTTTTGTAAGAAATTTTGGATTTTTGGAGACATATAAAAAGTCAATCTTTTCAATTGATTGTCAGACAAGTTTAATTCATTAAACAGTTAACAGCAGTTCCAATTTTATTTTTATTTGAAATTATTCTAGTGATAAAAATGAGAGCTTGGCAAATTTTTGCTGGCTTATTGCTTGTGCATGTAGTCTTATCAAGTGCCTATACATTATATGGATCTTCTAATGAGGATCAAAAGGAATCAAGTGATTTAGAAGTTGCAGCATCTGATTGGGGACATGGTTGGGATGACAAAGGTCATGGTGGAGATGATGGAGATAAAGGGGGTGATGATGGGGGTAAAGGGGGAGATGATGGGGGTAAAGGGGGTCATGGTGGAAGTGGAGGGGGAAAAGGGGGAGATGGGGGTCATGGTGGCAAAGGAGGGGATGGTGGTGAATCAGCACATGAAGAATCAGGAGGTTCAGAACATGGTGGGGATAGTTTTTCAAGTGGTGGAAGTAAAGGAGATAAAGGACACAAAAAGAAGAGTTCATGGGACAAGAAAGAAAAAGGATCACATCATAAAGACGAGCATCATGGAGAAGAAGGAGAAGAAGGTGGACACAAGAAGTCATCTTACGATGAAGGAGATTCCTACTCTGAACATCATGATGAAGGAAAGAAATCAAAAGGTGGCAAACATGGTCACAAGAAGTTCCATAAAAAAGGTTCAAAGACAACAGGTCATCATAAAACAGGACACACTGATGACTATCATAAGGAACATAAATTCTATGATGATAAGCATGATGAAGGAAATCATAAGGTAATGAGTCAATAATCTAAGTTAAGGATGTACTTACATCAAAATTTCAAAATTCCAGAAATATGGAAAAGACAGCAAACATCATCACGAGGAAGAAGGAAAACACGGCAAAGGAGGTCATCATGAAGAAGGCTTTAAAGAAGGTCATAATAAGAAGAAAGGAGGCACAGATAAAGGACATTTCGATGAAGACCACAAACATTGGGGTGGCAAGCACGGTTCCGAATCTCATCACTCTCACAACGATAAGTTTGGAAAGAAAGGTGGAAAGAAGGGCGGAAGTGAACATGGTAAGTTTGATTTATTAGATTTACAGCAAGATGTTAGAGCTTTTTTGATCCAAAGTTATCAATGTTGGGAGTTATAATTAAAGTTGTGGATTAAGAAGATTTCTTGAATTTTAAGTCTATCTACTTTATGCTTAAAATTACTAGAAACAAGCTTTAAACTCTAGCTTTTTATTCATTAAGTTCTTTGCATTTAATCATCCTAATTTGAAATTATCTACTTCCTAGGTTTCGGTTCAAGCTCAGGAGGAGGTGGAGGTGGACATGGTGGTCATGGAGGTGGAAAAGGAGGTCATGACGATGATCATTAGTCACAGTTTAATCTGCTATATTGTAATGTTCTGTTTTCAAAAGAGGCATACCACATTTTTAATGTTACATAAGAGGCGTTACTTCATACCATGAGTAAAAAAATTGTTAAATTTAAAATAAAACAAAAATGATTAAAAATTGAAAGTTAAAATGGTTTAATTTGCTTTATTTCAGTCTAAGTTTCATTTGTGTCTCGTAAGGCAGTGTAATAGATTGTGTGCAAATTGTTTGAATTGTTCAGTCTTCATGCGTATCTAATTTAGTTTATTTTATGCAGTTCTCTTATTATTTCGAGTGTTTTATTATCTAAATCTACTACTAGCTATTTTTTGCTAATAGTTGTTCAACCCCCCAACCCAGTTAATCCAACAAAAGCCTAACCATCCAACAAAAGCAACACAATTTCAAAACATCGACAGAAGAAGCAAGCAGTTGCTGGTCATGCCTTGATACACAGAAAAAAAACATGACAAAAGTTTTTGGCAACCGACAAAGTCATAAAATAAAATTGTGGCAATTTGGTAAATTGAGCTGAATGCACTCTTCATTATCATGATAAAATTATGCCAAAAGCTCTTTCCCTTCAGTCCTCATTTTCATTTTATTCTCGATTGTGACCTTTAACTATTTGAATGTTCATGTTTTGTATCTAATTCAGAGATGTCATGAACCTCCCTACATTTTATATTATTGTGCATGTCGTTGCCATCAATATAAAATTTCCATCAATCAGCCTTTCAATTATTGATGAATGAAAAATCATTTGGAAAATCAATTTGTTGATGAAATAAAATTTAATGAATTTTCATTGATGCTGCGGTGATGAAGAAAAGCGGGAAATGTGTTGTGTGAATTATTTACCATAAGTTGATTTGAATGGGGTTTCTGGCGCATTTTTAAGTGTCCTTTAGTTTTGAATGTCAAAGCTCCAAAGCTTTTGGATGTGCATGAATGTTAGGCACATACGGATTGAAATATTTGTTATGATTAATTGCTTTAGAACCTCAGACTACACAATCTTCACTCAGAGCAGCAATAACAGAGCCTGAAGTCAGCACAAACTTTCAAAACTTAGGTTGACACAATTATAAATTTGGTACCAAAGTTTGGCATTAATCTTACCCGGATGGCAGAAGAAGGATAATCGAGCAAAAATCCAGCACCAAGCCGGTGTGACTCTGGCATTGTGCTGGACATTGAGCTTAAAATAGGAATCGAACTCCTCCTAATGAGCTTACAAATAATTCTGTCAGTCACCTTACAAGTTAAACCTTATCTAAAGCACTATTAAGAGAGATCGGCTTCAAGTAGGAATCGAACGCACTTTTTCATCGAAAATTAAGTGGCCAATGTCTGGTCTGATGCTTAACCAATCGACTGCTAAGACTTCCCTTTATCACTGGCAGATTCGTAAACATAAACAGCTATATACAGATTCGCGAATGCATGTTCATGCCAAGATCATACAAAATTATTACTTATCGCCCTTAAAGTATCTTCAATATGTCTCAGCATTTTCCACTCAGTCAGACAAAAAACAGTCACCTACAATCCCACCACACTTTTTCATTTCCAGACAACCATGGAATATGAACAAAAAAAGAACCGGGAAGCAAGCAAAAAAAACATTTCATCCACTTTTTTTCCCTCTTCCATAATGTATATTGTTGTGTGAAATTTACCAGCACACACCATCACCATATCTGAATTGTGCGAGATTAATTTTTATTTGCATCTACCTGTATGGATATGAGGAAAAATACGTACAATATTTTTATGTATATATAAAATATGCTGTGGTATGATGGCGAATGACAACAGTGAGGCATTCAACCCAAGCGCATGAAGAGGAAAATTAAGGCGCGTATTGTTGTGCTGAATCCGCTTGATGAACAAATAAAGTATAATGAACACGTTTACCTACATATTATGCGCAAGCAAGCGTCAAAACAAATATAAACAGAATGAAACTTTCATCTTTTCACTCGCGTTAAGCACTTTCTATGTCGACGAATGTTTTCACATCCATTTTCATCATCAACAGCAGCATCATTGTCCACGCCACAAAGATTTCGCTTTAACTCCTTTTTATGCTCCGTTATGTACACAAACATCATTTTTAATCTCTTTCAACAGTTATTCACTCTCTTTTCTCTTATGCTTACTAGTTATAAACTTGCATGTCTGACTACTACAACAGGTAATAAAGCAAACAAAGAAACTTTTTTTGTCTTCTTTTCATCATTTTTTGAGTTTTTTATAGACAAACAAAAGGAAATTTCTGTGTAATTTTCATCATTGCTAGTGAAAAAGGAACTGAGATGAATTTATCTTTACCTTTTTGTGTAGACATTTTGGGTTCGGTTGCTTATTACGATTGCCTTGTAAAAAGGATTGTGGGGTCTAAAAGCAAGGCTTAGACATGAAAAATAGTCTCATCCGAGGTCCATGCGTGTTCTTGAAGTTGAATTAAAATCCAAACAAAACTTTTCATTTTTTCTCAATCATACTTGGCCCGAAACTAAGATGCCTATATGCCTGACGCGTAACAAAATTAATGAACGTCCCCATTTTGGAGCGGTGAAAAGGCATCAGTGACCTAAGTAGAAGAGCGATGGCCTTATGTGCCAAAGGTTTTGGTTTCAATCCAAGGCCAAGTCAAGTTTTAGGAGCTCTTTTTCCATTTCATTGTTTAGTCATGAAGCTCATACGTGTGTTGGGTATAGTTTTGAAGTTTTCGGCACATAACGTGTCTCCTTTGCTGGGTATATTAGGATATACTAGAATCTGGATGATTTTGTTACAGCATCTTGCGTATCAGCTCTTTAGAGGTACTCGAGTCTTTGCAATACGAAGAGCTTGCAAGTGGTTCGGATCCCACTATAAACAATAGTTGTACAATAGATTCTGTTCTAATTTGAATCAGCTCAAAAGACTGGGCCCACTACATGTTTTTACCCCATTTTGAAGGATCCCAAATTTTTTACTCTCCTCAAATTAAGGGAACAAAAACAATCAAACTCGCATATTTCAGTGGATTTACGAGGATTTTTGACAGATTAGCGTATGTGAAAGTTTTTTTTTCTGATGGATTTTATTGTATTTTTGTCAGTTTGCTCGTACGAGGATTAAGAAGAATTAACTGTGGGAATTCTGCTTAATTTTAATATTTTGGAAGGTAAACTTTTTGGAAAATCCAATTTATTGTTGAAATGTTGAGGTATATTGATTTGAGGATGGATGTAAAAGTTTTAAGCTTGTTTTTGATACAGCATAATGTTACAGGATTTGGTCGGATTGATAGAAAAGTGAATAAGGACTTAAGAAATAATTTTTGAACAATTTAATTTTGTTTATTGCACGAAAATTACGCAGCTCAACAATAAAGTAAGAAGGTTTTGGTACCTGTGGTCGAATTAAGAATGGAAACTTAACTAGTGCCGGATTTGAGATTCTTCTATGATGGCTGTGGATTGAAATCTGAGCTCGAAGTCGATGAAATTTTTAATGGAGTCAAGTCCACCTCAGCTGACTGAAAGCTAATGCTTTTCTGTATTAAACAAACCTTTGGTTTTAAACGCCTTAAAAATGACATTTAATACTCAATTATGACCAAGCTGAGGCAAAAAGCTCAAATCAGACAACAACTCATATCCCAAAACTAATGAGAGTAATTTACTACAATTTGTTATTCTCTCACCTCAACTATACATAATCCAACATAACAATTATCCAAAACAATAGGAATCAAAAACCATTTGAATAATTATGGTTTTATGGATTACGATAATTATCATAATGCTGATCTAATTGAGTGAATTTCAATCATTTTATCAATACAATAATCCTTCTATAATACAAAATTCAAGGAGGTTTTCATCTCAAATCACTCAAACCTCAAGACATGCTGCATTTGCTAAAACCAGGTTAAGCTCCATTATCATAAATTAATCCAGTTTCAATAATACGTGAATCTTAATGAATTGCCTGTTGAACGTGTTGTATTATACTCATTATCACATTTAATATTGACAAGATTTCAATAGCGTGATAGAAATGGCAATAGCTTAGTGTCATAAACGTAATAACTTGCTATTAATTAATGTTGATGAATTCTATTGAATTGTTTTCACACATGCAATGAAATTGACTTTAGTTTTGAATGACTTTGTCTGTAGTCATGTTCAGATTTATTAGATTCTTGCTATTAATTTAAAGTTAAATCTTAAAGACTGTCAACAATGAAGATAAATTGGTTTAAGGGGCATTATAGATAACAAATGCAGCTTGGACCTTTTCACGGAGTTTTGTTTCATTTATTATAATTTTTTGAATGTAAGCAGCCTTATTATAGCTATTAAAGCGACTTTACAAAACATTGAAAACTATCAAAATTATCCCAAAAATTCTAAACTTCCACAAAAAGCAGCATAAAATACCAATTTATAAAAAAAAACACAAAATCTTAATATACAATTTTAATCAAAGACATTGCATCTCCCAATATGAACACATCTTCATAAGCCCACACATTAAATTTTTATCATTTTGCCATCTTTAAGGTCGCAACGCATGCAACGCAAAAAAAATATCAATAGGCATAACTATATTCCAAATTTCCCTCACGTACTGAAATCGAGAGTAGAAAAAAAATCTGAGAATTTTTCTATAACCCAAGATAAGAAGTAAGTATTTGTTGTGTTTGGAATTTCATCATATGACAGACAAAATTCTCGGAAATTTGTTATTAGAATGTGATGCGAGCAGGAGCGTTGCCAGGGGGGACAAATCCCTCTGCGTTAACAGAAGTTACTTCATTTTGGTAAGCGTTTTATAAAAATTCCTAAATCTCCCTTAAATTTTCCCATGCAAAAAATTTTGTGTCCACCCCTCTTCAAATTTCTGGCTACGCCCCTAGACGCGAAAGTAAAGTTTTGATACAGAACTTCTATTTAAATTGCAGCTTTTGTGCTTTCTGAATTTTGACATTTTAGTTTGATTTTACTTTACAATTTAATGTCGAAAAGAGCACAAGTCGGTTGAACCTATAGAATATGGCACTGAATTGTCGTGAGTCTGGTAAAGTGCTGGCTTTGATTTGGTCGATTAACCGACTTGTGTCTTCAGTTGCAGTCATTTATGAAATGATGGGAAGTTAAAAATTGAGTCTTAATTTAACTTTTAGAGTTTAAATTGACTTCCAACAGTTCTCACTGTCCCAAAATACTCTCAGTCGACACTGATAAGAATCATTCAATCCTTTAAAAGCCTCAATTGATTCTACAAACCCTGAATTGACCTTAAATAGCCTTAGTAATCAATAAGTAGTCTAAATCTGCCATAGACAGTCTAAATCTGCCATAGACAGTCTAAATCTGCCATAGACAGTCTAAATCTATTTAAAACAGTCTCAACTTAACTAAGAACATCCAATTAAAGCACAAATCATAAAACTTCATAAAATTTTCACAACCTACAACCAAACTTCAACTTATTTATGTCACTTAAGTGTGCATGTCAATAACAAGCACCTATTTAATTCACGTCTATGCTGTCACCTAAACAGCATAATGTGAAAGTTATGATAAACTACTCATTGCCAGCATAAGGTATGTATTTATGTAATTACATCTTCAAACATTTGCAAATACAAATAAAAAGTGTTGACAGAAAAGCACCGCACATAATTTAGACGAGAAATGAGAGATTTTTGTTTTTTTTTTTGAGTACATAAATATTTTTTCAGTGTTTTTTAAGGTTTTCTTCAGCACTGCTAGAAAATCTTTAAGACGAGTTGGAATTCTTTTTTGATGAATTGCTTTTGATGTTATTTGCTTTGATTTTCAATATGGTATAAGTAAGGCTTTTATAAATTAGTTGGAGCAAACAGACGAAACAAGTGACGAATATAATGATTAAAGGAATGAAGAAATTCTGTGGCATGAGAAATGAAATGTTTTGTAAATAATCTTATTTCAAGTACTAATCAAGTCGAGTAATTGGAATTTAAAGAATATGAATCTAAAGCATTAATTAATCATGCTTTGAACTGAGATTTTATTAAGTTGCAGATATGAAATTAAGTTCAATTATTATGAATGTAAAATAAAATATAAATAAAGTGTCTTTTATTTCTAATTTTCATTGTGCTATTCCGATAGATCTATTGATTCTGGTTTTGAACTTTTGGGCAACTTTTGGGATGGGTTCTCCCAATAAAAACATCTAACATCGGATGAAAGAATGCTATAGGGTCATTCACTTAAGACGTCCGATATTAACGGCCATTTTTCAAAAAAGAACAATGGATTTCTAAGAATTTGTATTGTTCTTTTGTTGCTGACCCCCCCCCCCCCCCCCCCCCGGACGTCATAAGTGAACGGCCCCTATGCGATTGTACGAAATCAAAGCTAAATGAAGCTTTAATCGAAATTTCATATTGCAATATAAGCTTTTTAGTCTAAGCTTCATATTATTTCCACGAAAATTTTCATTTTGAATAGATACAAAAAGTAGGTTGCAAATTGCATGTTAATTTTATTTATTAAATTCTTATTAAGTTTTTTTTAAAGTCATCTGCTTATTACGTAGAGATTTAAGAATAAATGATCTGAGATTTTGTTTCAATTTAAACAAATAAATTATTTTCCTTACACAATTTGTGAGAAAGTTGCAAAGAAAGGGGAATCGACTCCCTCTCTTTTTTGCGTGACGTAATTTATGAACGACCCTTTAGTGCTTTTTTAAGGAAATTTCAAGATTTTTAAAAATCACATTTTTAAAAATCACATCTACAATTTTTTAAACCTCTTCATCATGAAAAGTAGTATGTCATAACGGTATAACTCCTGCTTACTACGCCATCTATTGCAGGGAATTTCAATCTTAATTTTTTTCTTTGTTTGAAAATTCAAGAACTGTGCGTTGACTAGACTCATGTAAATTTATAGTGTGAAATGTAAAAGAAAGTTTAATTTTTTTGAAGATGCTCGAACTTGTTTCTTTATGCAAAAAGTTGCAACTTTATTACTAATGACTTTAAATTATGTACGTGTAACCAAGGGTGTGGTGCTAGTGAATTCAAATTCTGATTAAATTCTAGAATCGAAATAAAAGAATAGAAATTGTATTAAAATAATCTGGAATTTTAATTAAAATTTAAATAAAATTTGAAAGTTTGGAAATTTTGAACAATGTTGCGATGCAGAGTCAGGTTCCAGACAACCCGAGAGTGTTTCTCAAACGATGCTCTAAGCGGATAAATATGAGTCATGGTTTGCAGAAATTTACTTTGTTGCAGCCTGAAATAGCCATTAAAACCTGCACTTGGTCATGCACAAATGTCCAAAAATTCCATTTTAAAAATACAACATTTATAAATGATTCCTGGTCAATTTTATTAAAATTTTAATATTCTAATAAACTGAACGTGTCAAATAAAAATTAAAGCAGCATTCAAAACTTGAAGTCATCAAAATGTGATCAATAAATTCAATCTATAATGTTTTAATTTTGCAGACTAAATTTGTTGATGATCTCAAAAGACTGAAATTTATAAAATATCGAATAAATTAAAATTGCTGATTTAACGATGTTTTTTTTGGATTCTAATCCATTAACAAGAATTTTGTTTTATTTTAAAATTCTAATCTACATTTTAACATTTCTAGTTTTGGATCAAAATAATTCTGAATTAATTCTATACAGCCACTAATATATCATGTTATAAATGGACCACATTATCGAAATCAATTTCATTATTCTACATCAATCAATCGTCTATGACGCTTTTAATTATCACGACATGATATTTTACGCCTACGACCAAAATATTCAGCACATTGCTTCATTAAATCAAGAATATTCATGCCTATAAATTTTAATCAGATGAAAATGAACAGCGGTCTCTATGATGACGGAAACAAAGACTTGTTGTGACTCACAAAAAAAATTATTAATATTTATAGCTTCTTCATTAAGAACTACTGAATTTCGATACATTTGAAAATATATAAATTTTTTTTTGGAGAGTCCTTAAGATGAAGGTTATGCAATCGAATCGGCTATTTTGGTAACAGAGAATGGCAAATGTTGAGATTAAAACTTCAACTGTTTTATTTTCAAATCAAGAGTTTGAGTTTATGTGGAATGTTGAAGACACTTGATCGAACTATATTCAATGCAGGAAGGTTGAATCTTAGTTAAATTCAAAAGAACTCATTAAGCATTTAATATTTTAACCTTAGCGACAAGTCTAGACTAGAACAATACATTCAATTCAACAATATCTGAAAATAGCAATTGGTCGGCAGTAAGGCTTTATTGAATTGTATTTACTTAAGTGAATCGCTTTTTTAACATTCTTTAAAAATTAACACTTTTATCCAGCAAACTTTATTACATCTTAAATTCTCAAACTATAAACCTTTTAACAGAAAATATCAAGATGTCCCCAAAAAAATGTCAAATAAACACAATTTTGGTATCCAATATTATCTCAAAAATACCAAACATTCTCAATTAATCAAATGCAAATCCAGTCCAAAAAAGATTCATTGAGGAGATTTAAACAGGTTCAAACGAACAGGTTGTTGAGCAAGCTATCAGTAAAGATGATCAGCTGTTGTGTTTGTACTGATTACTGAATGAATCTCAGATTAATTTATATTGACATTATACACGATGAAAAATTAGTTTGTATTACCATAAATACCGAATCGGGTGTCTTTAAAAAGCCAAAACAAAATCAACGGCGTAAGTTGTTGAATGAGAAATTACTCAGCTGCTTAAAAAACATTCGACATGGTGATTTAGAATTGATTTTTTTTTTATGTGTTGATCTTTCGCCTACAGGAATTTAGCGGAGTCTCTTTGATTGACAAAAAACTTATTTTTTGTTTTAAATATTTTTCTTTATTATTTTTAACTTATCGATCAATGACATAAACTATAATATTTTTTTTATAATATTCCGATGTTTTTTTTCTTCTTCTTTAATATACAAATAAAAAAATAGAATGAAAAAAAATTGTACATTCATTTCGTTCAATTTCCTTTTGATTGCTCTTGTTTGTCGTCGAAAATTCACTTTTGAAATCAAAAACGAAAAATAATATAATAAAATTAATAATTTTCAAGAGATATGAGAACACGCGTGAGAGCTTGAAGCTGATTAAAATTAAGTTTTTCCCTCATTTGCCGGGTGGAAGGTAGAGAGGTCCTGGCGTTGATGTTGGTGGTTGTGGTGGCAAGTATTCTCGTTCGTTCTGTGAATTTTCAATTGTTTTGGTTAAAATTTATAAAAATTTTTTAATGGATGATTTACATCTTTGACTGTAACTCCTGGTGTTGGTCGGGTTGGGGGTCTTGGTGCTGGTCCAGGTGGTCCAGGGGGTCTGTAAATGATTTAAATACGAATAATGGATGAGTCATTAAGCCATGATTAGCTGTTTTTGCCATAATATTAAGTTTCATCAATTTCTGAGTCTTAACAACAAAATTAGAAAGTTCTTCTTTAAATGAATTAATTTTGAACATTAATTAAAAGATTTGATTCTTTTTCTCAAAACAAGATTATCATTAATTGAAGTAAAAGAACTTTCCGTTAGCATTAATTCGTCATCAATAAGAATGTATTTAAATTTAGATCCTTATATCTACAATAAATAAGCTATTATAAGCAAAGCACAGTTAGTTTAGACATGATATTGAATAATATAAAATTAGGCAAAAATCTCCATAATTTATTTCGAAACTGTTAAATTTATTTTTTTTTTTGTCTAAACTGTTTTAAATTTTGATATTCTTAGATTTATTGCCTGAATTTACTTTACAAAGATGTTGAATCTAGTCGATTTTGTAGGAAATGTGAGATCATTATTTACATTTTTTCGGTTTTCCTGAGCTATATAAGCTATGATTTATTACCAACTAATCAGAAAAGCTTAAAAATTCAATCGAAACTTCGAAAAAAATACAATTCTCAATTTTTTTCAGTCATATAAATTTTTTAATCTTTTCGGCTAGTCTTAATTCAAAGGATGTTAAATTAAACTCTTACCCTGGTCTATTTGGCCCTGGTCTTGAAGGCCCCGGTGGTCCTGGTGGTCTGTGTTTAATTAAGATTAGTCAAAATATTTACATTATTAAAACTAAGCTAAGCCACAAATATTATTCAAAATAAGCAATTAATAATTTGTAATTTAATTATTTGATGAATATAGCTGAACATCATCCTTACCCTGGTCTTGTTGGTCCCGGTGGTCCAGGTGGGCCTGGAGGTCTGCATTAATTAATGTTAATTGGATTAAATTATTAGCAATATTAAGCATGTGAAGCTAAGCTATTAAAAATTCTATTAATTAATAAATTGTGTCCGAAAGGAAGCAATCAATTAAGTCAATTATTAAAAATAGCAAAAAAAATTTTTTTGATTTAAGTTTCCTTCCAATAATTGGCAACTAATAGTTAAGATCCATTTTTGTACAGGAAACCATCACTCAACTCGAAGGTTCTTAATTATTTTTGGAGATTTTGGGGATTTTTCATTCTACGTAGTAGCTTACCCTGGTCTTGATGGTCCAGGTGGTCCTGGGGGTCTGTTTTTTGAAGATATTAATTTAGTGAATTAAGTTATTAAGGATGAATTATTGATTTTATTTACCCTGGAGGTCTGTAAAGAGAAAGAATAATGTTTGAGGTCAGTAAATTGATTATTTTATTTAAAATGTTAAGACAGAATTGCTAATGACATCTGAAGTTGAGAAAAAGAGAATTTTAGGAATTTTACAAGAAGTTTTGGCATTTCTCTCAAAAAACCTTACAAAATTAATGATATTTTTTCGTAAAATAGTCTCCTACTTCCAATTACACTAATCCCCAATATAAAAGTTGAGATGTCATTAAAGACCTAAAACAAATCTTACCCGGGTCTAGTTGGTCCTGGTGGTCCTTCATTTGCAAGTTTCAAAAAGAATTCAATCAGTTTATTTTTTAAATTGATTATAAATTACTCTGAATAATTTACCTGGTGGGCCTATGAGAAAAAATACATCAAATTGAAATTCATTAGAATCTAGTAAGTTCATGTTATAAAAGAATAACTAACCTGGTGGACTGTAATTTGAATAATTTGATGGAAAAAGAGAAAAATGTGATAATTTCAATTTGTAATAAAATTTCGTGTATTTTATTTACCCTGGAGGTCTGCAAAAATATTAAATAAAAATTATTTATAACTCTGATAATTAATTTAAATGAATCAAGTAGCTTACCCTGGTCTAGTTGGTCCTGTTTTAATAATAGTTGAAGATAGAAATTTGAAGAATATGAAATTAAAAAATATTCGAATTGTAATTAAATTGAAAATGTTACCTTGAGGTCCTATAGAAGATGATGTTAAGGAGTTAAATTACAGAAATGTAATAAACTTGATAAAAATCTAGAAGAAAGTTCAAATCTTACCAGGTGGTCCTAAAATTCGCAAAAGAATTTTATTAATTAAATTTGTCAAAAAAAGTCATAAAAAATTTAAGTTTTCAATAAACTCAAATATTTTATCGCCTTATTAAAATTATCGTTCTTTAAACTCACCAGGAGGTCCTAAAATGACACAAAAAATAAATTGATAAGGATGTTAATTGCGTTAAAAATTACAATTAAATCAAACACTCACCAGGTGGTCCTAAGGAATGGTTGATGAATTGATTATGAAAATAAACACACAGATCCTTAGCAAAAGTTGAATTTTAAAATTTTATGATATTAAATGCTTACCAGGAGGTCCTAAAATTAGAAAATTTAATGATTAATTAAATGTATTTTTAAAAGAACTGAATTGAACTTTTATATCAAAAAAAGGGCTCAGCTTTGCTTAATAAAAATAGATTTTGTTTTTAAGGGAAAGTCTCGTGAGTTCGGAACTGATCAGAATGGTCAAAAACAAACGAAAGTAGATTGGTCTGATTTGAATTCTAGGGTAAAGTTGGGATATTATTAAAGGGTGTGGTGCAATAGATTCTGTTCTAATTTGAATCGCAGTGCCTCTAGCTGAAAGGCTGGGCCATTCACACATTATTATTATTGGGATATTATTGCAAATATAATTTAAAGGAAACTGAGTTTCAGATCATCAAACCTTCTACTAAATAAAGCGTATCCTTCATCTTTATTCAATCATGTACACTTACCAGGAGGTCCTAATTGATGCATTCATTTAAAAAAATTAAATTTGAAAATTAATTTAACATTTCTTCATAAAAGTTTGTCGCAAAAATTTACCATTTGGTCCTATAAGTCGAAGAAAAGATACAAAAAAAATTAAAATCAGTTCATTAATACAAATGACTTAATTTGGTTCTAAATGTTTTTTTATAAATAAATGAAATCGAAATTCAAAGTATTATCAAATATTCAAGAACATCCGTTATATCTCCTAGACATTAAAATGGTTGTTGATAGACTCGTAAATAGCTTAATATGGAATATTTCCGTCACATTTCGTACATATTAACCTAAAGAATCTAAACGTTACGTAAAATGTAGCAAATTCAGATTTAAATACGTAGCAAAATCTAGTTTGACACATTATCATAAATTTATGATTTAGAAAAAAATGGAAAAATATGTGAGTGAATTTAAATTGATTATTTAACATCCAAGATCTATTTTTGGAATATGAAACTCAAGATCTAAATGAATTATGAAACCACGAGTCGAGAAAACGACGAATCTCAAAATTCATGGGAAAAAAATTGACAATAAATCTCCAACAAACGCCCTAAAATAAATTGAATTTTAATCGAATAACCTGATTTAAATTCTCAAGAAACTTATGCAGCAGTTTACATTAATAACTCTTTTGGAGCTCATCATTAATTCATAAATTCAAATTTTAATAAATAAAATATTCACACACTAAATGTTCAACTCTAAGGTTGAATTTTTAATGGACAAATTGAAATCATTGAAAAATATTTTGTCTCAATACAAACGTGATTTTTAATTTATTTATGAAGAGAAAAAAGAAATTGAGTGCAGTTCCTAGTTAAAAGATGTAGAAGTTAATTATAGGAAATTTATTGCGGAATTTCGTGTCAGATCAACAAAATTCTAGCTTATTGCGATAAAAGTCTTTGATAGGAATCGAACAGAAAGTCTCTCAAAAGAAATGGATATTTTCAGCACCTTGTATGAATCGGTCAAAGACGTATTAATATTGCAATAGCAGATTCGCTTACATATGGTTCGAGAACCAATCTTTCAATTCAATATGAAGGAACCAGCTACATGTACCCTGATCATGGATAACTGGCATCAGATTTAAACAAAGAAAACCCAAGACAGTTGATTGTTAACTGTCATAAGCATAAGAAAGCACTTCATGCAACAATTTCTTAGCAGTTTTTAAAGAACCTTTTCATATTTTTGATATTAACGAGTCTATCACTACTCCAAGTCTCTACATCTGACAATTAATATTCTACTTACCGGGTGGTCCATTAGGTCCATTTGGTCCATTTGGTCCAAATCCACCTACTCCTCCTTCTCCTCCAAATCCTCCAGATGGTCTGTAAAATTATTCCAATTAAAAATCAATTCTAAATCGAGTTCTTAATGAATTACTCACCCATCAGGTCCAGTTACATGAACATAAGGTAGTGGTGGGACAATTTTATTATTTGATGGTCTAAATTTAAATTTTCAGAAAATTAGCACCCAAAAAATCTTGAAAATCAGTGTTAATTACCCTTCTATGTGCATATAAATTCCACGGTTATCTGGAATCCATCGACCTCGATCATCATATTGGTATGGTTGTGGTGGTGGACCTAAATATTGTCCTGAATTATCTGGTATATATTGTCCTGAATTATCGGGTCTATACTGTCCACTTTCATCTGGGAAATACTGTCCTTCAAGCTGTGCGCTACTATAATGCAGCAATGTTCCTATCTGAGGAATTAATTATGAAGTTATAGCTAATTAGTTTAAAGGAAATCTCAATGTGATTGTGATTCATTGTCATTGACGGAAAAAAAAAGTCTAAATTTATTCAAGACGTGAAAAAGATCAGCACAAAATGAAACAGGTTTGTAATTTCATTTTTAAAAAGTCAGAGCAGTTTTTTGCGCATTTGTTTTTGAATTTCATATCAGTGCTTCCTTAATTCCTGCATAAATTAGCTCAAATTTTGATAAATAATATTTGGTCCACAATTCAGATCAGTTTTTTAAGTCCGATTTCCTTATCAATTAATTATCATAATCTAAGTTAAATATTGAATATCATTAATGCAGATTAGAGTCGCGATAGGTGTTGGCAAAAATTATCGCATTATAAAAATAGTCGATAGATATTATGAATGAAAATTAATATAGCAAATATTACTCATCAAAAACAAAGAGTTAACCGTGAAGAATCGTGTTCATTTCTTTTGTAAATTTCAAAAGTTTCAAGGATTGCTTTTATCATCTATTGCAAATCAGATGATGCATATCTTATCATCAATCAGCGTCAATCAACTTTCTTATGGTCATCAAGTGATATTTTTAATAATTTGCATCTATGATTTCAAATCTATTAAGTTTTCATCTTGGTATACTAATCTAATATTTAAGTTAATTTTGTTGATAAGAAATAATCTAAAATTTATGATTTAAAGTCTAAGATTGTATCTTGAAATGGTTTGACAACAGTGACTATATTATGGACTAGAAAGACTATAGTTAAGAGTAGAATAACGAAACTGTGGACCAAAGTGAGTATATTATGGACTAGAATTTTCACTAGAATGAAAATATAATCAACTAGAATGAGAATATAATAGACTAGAATGTCTATACTATGGACTAGCATGTCTATACTATAGACTAGAATCACTATATTGAAGACTAGAATTACTTTATTGTGAAACAGAATGACGAAATTATTAACCAGAATATGGACTAGAATAAGACAATTATGGACTAGAATTTCTAGAATATGGATTTGAATTACTATACTTTGGATTAGAATGGCTAAATTTTGAACTAGCTTGACTAGGGTGAAGTGCGTCTGGCAGATCAAAAAATTCAGCAGAAACCTTCGGTCTTTGGAAATCTGCAAACTGGAGAATTCTGCTGAATTCTTCGATCTGCTAGATACTCCGGAATCGCTTGACTTTGATATGGATTAAATTTGACTGATCTATACACTAGTATGGCGTCTGATTGTCTGTTTATTCAGTGTTCCTTAACTTTACATTTCAAAACATTCCATTCTTTCCCATGCATCAACTCATACTAAAGATCCCCAATCAAAATCATCCAAACTGTCGTCAACAATCCAAACAAAAACTTCACAGATGGTCAGTAAAAGAATGCAAAATTTCAAGTGTTTTAACAAGCAAAAATCAAGGAAATAACTTGTTCAATAATGAACCATCTTAATGAGTTCGAGATTTTTGAGAATCGATTATCCATAACATTTCAAAGAAGAACCGCAAAAAAAGCACTATTAAGCAGGTGTTGTGAAATATGAAAATTTGTTTCTAGTTTTTTTTTCACGTTGTTAAAAGTATCAGTTTTTGCTATAATTTCAAAAACTTGTCATTCTTGAGAATAATTTAAAGCTTAAGATCTTTGAGAGTGATTAGAGGCTTAATGGAGAGTTGGGGAATCATGTTGCATTATTGCGTCACTAGGCAAGTTGTTCTTATGAAGATTTTTAATTGAGAATCGAGACTGTAGCGGTTTAAAAGATTTAATGTACTTTTTATGGTTTTATTAATGTTAAATCAAACAAATTGCAGCAAAAATTGAATTCCGAAGTTAGTTGTGACTTTAAAGGTTTTAATTTAGAATCAATCCTAATTAGGAATCAATCCCGATTCAATCCCAAATCAATCCTGAATTTCTAAAATCAATTTAAAAATCTAGAAATCTAGTCAAACGATTAGCTAGAATTTTAAAAAAATCTAAAAATTTCTCCATCGACCTTAACCAATAACAATTAATATTTCATGTCACAAAATCACTAAAACAAAAATCTTTGGACACAAGCGAAATTTTTGATGGTAAAATAATAACCATAAAGAGCATTTTATTATGTCTGAAATCGAACTTTAAATAATTCAGACCATAAAAATCAACGTCAAATGAATGTAATATCTTTTTAATTATAGAATTAACTGCTTATTGGTGTGATAAAAACTGTGCTGTCAATTAGTATGCATTCTTGAGAAACTTTTGAAGATTCTTGAATTTCTCGGTGTGTGATTTCGTTTGGTTATTTTTGGCATTTTAATGGCGAAATTTTATTATCTTTTGATAATTAACAAATTTATTTATTATGATTTTGAAAACATTTTTGGATTTTGCAAGCATGTTATTGGAACTGTATTCAAGAAAGTAATGACCCTCGAAACAAAGTTTAAAGACTACAAATTGTTGCAGTTTATGATCAAATTTATTGAAAAACTTATTAAGCGGTCTTTCACTTATGACGTCCGAAATTAACGGTCATTTTTCAAAAAAAGAACAATGGATTTCCAGGAATTACTATTCAATTCTATTCCCTGGACATCATAGGTAAGATTCACATTAATTATAGATCTGGAAAATGATCAAAATAATCAAATATGATCCATAGTCAGTTCATCTGTTCCAAATCTTATGATTTAAAACATTAAAATTCAAATAAACTAGTTTTTAACATTAAAAATCCAAATATAGATCAAAATCTCAAATGTTTTAATGTTAGAGAAAAAAAGTCCAACAAGTTCTTTGATAACAAATTTTCCTGCATTGATAAAACTTAAAATGCATAATTAATCCGCTAAAAGAATCATTATTATTCAGTGTGGGTAGATTGAGTCCAAATAAAACATTTAAAGGTTAAAAGCGTTGAGAATAACTTCAAATCCACTTAATCCTTCAAAATTTATTTTTCCAGTCACAGCTGTTAATCTGAATGCAATTTTGTTGAATCATTTAATGATCAATACTTGAACCAGTGATGGTTCTAGAGTTTTCTGACCATTCTCCATTAGTTCTAATATTAAGAAACAAAGAAATTCAATTCTAAACCACGGAAAGCCATTAAACTGATACAAAGTCATAGCAAAGAGGTTGCAATTTGTTCTTATTAAAAATCTCATTACTCTCTTGACTACAAACATTCTTGAACCATCCCGAGATCTTGAAATTTACAATTTAATCATTCCTGCTCTCATTCCAATTAAAACCTTTAACTTGAAATAATAATCTTATTTATAGAATCAATCTGGAATGTTAACGAACTTGGAGTAGCACAGGATATATTAAAAAAAATTATGGCACATAAATTCTTCAATAATTAATGCCACATTTTGCAATGAAAGCAAGATTTTTTACTGCTTTTTAATAAAGTCATGTGATGATTTGCAGTCAAAACTTTTATATAATAATTTGCAGTAGATATTAAAAAAATACGGCAATCAATTATCATGCCTAAGAGTTAAAAAGTCTTCAAGAACATATTCTTTATAAGTTGCATAACAAAGCAAAAAAATGACGAACGTGAGAGAAGAAAAAAAAATCTGCAAAATAAAAAATTCAATATCACATTCACATCTCCTCAAGGCCGCATACCGATCATCTTTATTTCCGAGACGACCAAGTATCGTTGAAGTTAATAAACCTTACGTATTAACATTTTACATGCGATTATCTCTCATTTTCGTGATGCCTTAATTTTTTCTTTATCATTCCAATTTGCACTTGACATTTCTCGTCACAACTATGAGGATGCCGTTTATAAGCTACTTTATAATGAATGATGAATTAATTAACTCAGTTTTGATTTGCATGTGGAAGCTATTTAAATATTTTTTTATTATTAATTGACTTAAACTTGATATTGTATTCATTTGTTATGGGGCTTGTCAAAATACAATAATAAGATGACATGAATAAATTAGCCGAGAAAAATTAATTTCATCAATTTTGAGCTTGAGGATTTGAGAGATGATCTTGGATCAATTTAAACTATGTCATGTTAACTGTGGATGATGATGCAAATATGCAATATCGCTGCAACTTAAGATTTGAAGGTTTCTTTGATAGATTTGAGATAACTTAAAACTAGATCTTTGAAGATAGCTACCTAAGCTCAACATTAGTCAATAATTCGAATGACTCAAGTCGGTTAATCGATTAGAAATTCGGTTTGACTCGGGCATGGTGCTAGATTTAAATCAAAATCGGCATGGCACCGACTTGTGCTATTCGGGTAAGACCATAGCAATTTGTAAGAGTTTAAACAAATTGGAACTTAGGTGAATCTATCATTTCAATATTAGTAACTCTGTGATTGAGTATTTAGCCAATTTTTGTAAACTAAGGTTCGATTCCCGACCAAGGTTGCGATACAGGCAGCTGTGCACAGGTGAAAACCATACAATTTCTCTATAATTTGTGAATTTTTATTAAAATTTGTATGGTTTTATTAGAAAAACCCGAAAAACCTTTTAAATTATCAAGAAATTGTACGTTTCTCATCTGTGCACAGGTGCCTGTATCGCAATCCTGTTCCCACCAAAACCGACATGACTAACACTCCACCAATAAGTGCAATAAATTTAACAATAAAGAGATTCAATAAACTCTATTAAAACTCAGTCATCAATTCATAGGAATTAACTGCAACAAAATCAAGTCAACAGCCATCAAACAGCACGAAACTAATAAAATTAAGAGAGTAGGTTGGAGAAAAAAAATGTTTTAATTTTCTTTTCTTATTCCAATGTCAATCGATTGAATCATTAACCTTAAAATCTTCTTTTTTGTGCCTTAATTTTATATCACTATCATTAATTTTGCGAAATCAATAGATGCAGATGAGGTACTAATGACAAATTGAATGATTTAATCCACTTGTGAGTCATTTGAATTTTCATTAATTTATTTGATATTTTTTTGGATGCGACTTAAAAT